GAGGGGTGCAGAAACTGAGGGCACAAACCTTATTTTCAGGGCGTGAAAGCTGATGCATCTAGACCAACCAGTTGTTTCACAGCAGCCCGTTAACCACTGTTTGTGTTTGCATAGCAAGACAAGGGGAGGGATCTTATTATCCCTCCTTCACCTGCGAGAGGGCTGAGGCAGACAGACACATTTGAAATATCAACTGATTTTTGATTGCCCCTTCTAGCCTGCTTTTGAGCTGGCATGTGGGGAAAATCTCATGCCTCCCTTTATTTGTAGCACAGCTTTTGCTGATATTGAGTACTGCTGCAAGTGCTCAGCACTTCAACAAACCCACACTTGGTTACCTACAGGGAGACAGCAGAAGGAAGAATGAAATCATTGACTAGCTGTAAAAATTTATATGTAAACAGCATAGAAGTTGTTCTATATAAGGCATTTATTCTTGTCCTGAAAAAGAATTTCAGCCACTTAAGTTTGTTGGGGGTTTTTTTGTCCTTTTCCAGATCCTTGCATCATTCATGGCCTCCTGTTTATTTATTATCATCCGCACCCTGCATTGATGAAGTGGGAGTGTTGCCGAAGGCTATTATTGCAAATAAGGCTTAGTAAAATGAATGTGGGCAGGAAAAGCAAGTTAAAGTAATCCAGGCAGTTTTTGTTCTACAGTGTCCTAATTTTTTAAGCCTTCTCTTGGCACATATAGTATCTCTGAAGGTAACTGGCAACCACATCAACTACTGGAGCCAAAATAATGTATAGGAACTTGACTGCCTATCAGTTGTACCCCAGAAGCCAGGCAGGTGGTTACAGTAAAGGCAGAAGGTGCAAATTGTAGCCTCTTCTGCTATTCAGAATATACTCATTGATCTTCCCACTGCTGATTTTCTTTTGGCATTAATACACTTCTCTTTTCCTGTGGTGGGAATACAGAGAAACAGCTTCCTCCCATTCATTTCCTTCTGTGTTACACTGTTACTCATGACATTGTGAGCTCTTGGATGTAGGACACAGCAAGACCATGGTCCCAAACTGGGACCTCCACAGGCTACCCTAACACCAAATACTGGTGCCTGTAAGAGGTTCATTCAGGTTCATCCTTAATTCCCAGCGGTTAATGCCAGCAGGCTCCTCACAGGAGACATACAACTCACCTTCAGTATTTGCTTTGGAGCCCTCATGCTTTTCCCAGTTCTTGGCTGACTTAAAAGAACAGCACAGACTATTTGTATAAACATGATAAGCCTAAGAGGGATCAGAAAATTCTACTTACGTTAATTTATAGAATACAAAAATACATAACTAACCTTGTCTGTGACTGCAGCCAAGCACTTTTCCTGTTGCAAATGCTTTCCAGCTTTAGCCAAGCCTTTTAAGAGTAAACATCAGCAGTGTTGGTTCATGTCCGAGAGAGGGTGCTAAAACAAAATATTTACTACAGAAACTTCAGAGCTCCACAATTGCTCAATTCAGTGCTTCTGCCTGCATACATTTATTTTGACTTAGTTTTTATTTTACTTGCTTGCAGCTGGCAATTTAATGCAGGCATTAGCTTTACGAACATATTACACCAGCTGTAATTTCAAAGCTGAAAATAACATTTAGAAAGAACTAACCATACTAGAGAAAAACAAGGGAACAAACTTCCAGATTTTCACTTCAGCCTGATTACTCAGATTTAATTGCGTGCAGTTTTATTACTGACAGTTCTGAGTTAATAAAATTAACAGAAATTAGGAAAAGTTAACTGAAGGAGGAGAAATTTAGGTTAGATATACAGAAGAAATTCTTTACTGTGAGGATGGTGAGGAACAGGTTGCCCAGGGAAGCTGTGGATGTCCCACCCCTGGTTGGATGGGGCCTTGAGTGAGCTGTTCTAGAGAATGGTGCCCCTGTTTATGACAGAACACCTTGGAACTAGGTGATCTCTAAGGTCTCTTCCAACACATTCTATGATTCTATTCTGTCACACTGACATTGTAACTCCCCATGGTGTCACTAGCAAAATTGAAATCTGCAGGTACATATCACTGTCCTGTGCCAAAAAATTAGCAAAAGAATGGATAACAGAAGAAAGACATCCTCTTTCATCTGAGCTAGATGCTCAGAGACCAAGGAGACATTTTCCCAGTGAATTGATAGAGGCTGCTGGCAGAAGAATATTGTGAAACAGTCATGTCTCCTGAGTTTAAATTCCAAGCTTTGGAACAGGTCATGGTCATGGTCAGGTCAGGTCATGGTCAGGTCAAGTGGCTGCTAGTAGGTGACATAGTAATGGGAGACAGAAAGACTTTTCTTTCCCAAACTAAAACTTTTTCCTGCTGGTTGAAACTTAGTGGGAGTTGAGCATTGCTGGTAGTTGAGTGATCAGTGATACCTAGTCCACCCTGTTTCCTACTGAGCTGTAAGCCCAGTGGGACCTGTCAACTTTGAAGTCATTGCAACTCAATGGTGCTTTTTCTAAGATGCAGAGATATCCAAAACCTGACTGGACACCACCTTGGGCAGCTGGCTGTATGAGACTCTGCCTTAGCAAGTTGATTGGACAGATGATCTCCAGAGGTCCCTTCCCACCTCAACCAGTCTGTGATTCTGTAAATTAGGCAGTTTGTGATAAAGTACAACCTAGAACCACCCCTAGACCAGCAGTGCTCAAGCTAACTCCCTGTGGTATTGCACTTTGAACAGTGGTGCTTGTGTAACAGCATTGCCCCAGAATGAAGTGCTGTTTAAACTGCCTCTTCCTACTCTGCCAGTTTTCAGGGAATTTCAGCTGGAACTAAGCAAGTCTATTTGTCCATATGTCAACTTATTTTTCTGCCTTTTATCTCAGGACAATGTGCTGCTCAACAACCACTGAAAGCTGGCTGGCAGAGGTCTGCTCTGCTTAGTGCCTGGGATCCAACTAAATGCGTGGCATCACTCTCCCTACAAAACAGATGAATCCAAATCCAGCCACAGCCCTTAAACCTCCAAATTCAGGTCATTAGAGAGGTGTTAAAAATATCTGTAATGCTATTACAGCTTCTCTTAGATGCCACCAGAATCCTATTTGTTCTTCTGGAGACACTATTGTTTTTCTAAAAAAGAAAGTTATTACTGTAGAAGGAAACTAGTTAAGGAAGAAAACTATCAATTAGTATGAACATAACGTGTCAGGAGCAAGGAACTGAAGAAATTAGAAATGTGATATCTTTACCAAACTTGAACAGAGGTTTCCTTTCTGTTTTAGGCAAAGAATAACAAGAATAAAGACAAAAATATCTTGTATTACCATATTCTTAGGTCTAGATTTGGCTTGACACACTAACCCAGATTATTTTGGACTATAAGGAAATTGGATTAGAAATTGTGAAGCCAAAGCATTGCAATGCACTGGGTCACTTCTATGTTCCTCTGTCAGTCAGCTTCCAAACTGTTCCTCGCCCTAAAGAGGACGAGCACCTAAAGAGTGACGAGTTTTTTGGACAAAGAGGACAATTTTCTGTTTAGTGAACAATTTCTCTTGGGAAAAAATAGGTATAGAAAGTACTTCTCCTCAGTATTTCAAGATGGTTTGTAATTATGCACAAAGAATTAAATGAATAACCTATGGAAAAGATGAAGTAGGGGAAAGGTTGGCAGGTCAACCTCAGGAACTGGGGCAGTTAGTTTGGACTAACATGCTGAATTTGAAAGCTTGAGCAAACAAGTTTGTGTCTGTAAAAGTGGGTTATAAATTACATAAGGACATGCTTTCACATGAATCTCCTGGCAGTATCGTTTCTGGGCAGGCAGCAGCCCTGGGAAGATCACCATATTCACTGTCTTTGGTGGATCTCTGTGTCTAGATCCAAGAGAAAGCAAGGGCTGAAGTAGTACATGGAAGAAGAGCCAATCAGGGAGGAAATCTCAAAGTCCAGAACATCAGTGCTAAATTTTGGACAAATATAGCATGTCTGACATCAAATATGCTTTAGTTTGTGAAGAAGACACCAGTCCTGCACCACACATGCTTTCCTTGACTTATTTCCACTGTTTTTCCCACTGACATGGAAACACATGTCTGAGCTCTGGTCAACCAAATTATGAACACAGAACTGAGAAGGCAGCTATGAGAAGGCAGAAGTGCATATATGGATACGTAATTTCTTGATAAATTTTCCTTTAGAAAATAAAATAAAAATTAAAAATGGTCATAGTTTTTAAGAAATATTATTTTGTTTTGTTTATTAAAAGCAGGGATAAAGAAGGAGGAAATTTTCAACCAACTTTGATAGTTTACATAAATGTTTTATAGTAGCTGTAAGACTTTGTTACCACTTGTAACAAAAAATGAGTTTTGAAGGTGTGAGATTTTGTGCTTATTACACCCAGAACAAAGCCACTTCCTTCCCTGACACTTTTTCTGTTGTGTATCAGAGGCTGAGTTGTGATGGGATCTGTAGCTCCTGTTCTGTCTGATTTTTGTTTCCTTCCTAGCCAGCCCAAACATTTTCTTAGCAATCCCTCCCTAACAGACAGTTGGAATCATAGAATCATTTAGAGACCTCTGAGACAATTGAGACCAACCGGTAACCATTAGGTGGATCTCGCTTTGGCACAGTGTGTGCAGGATTCAGGGGTTCAGGGATTCAGGTTAGAGAAGTTCAGTTTGTAAATACGAGTGCTGGGCCATAGACCAAACCCAAGCTGAATCCAAGAGATTCAGTGACCCTGTCTGCTCCCAAAGCGGACCGACAATGAATTGAATCTTCCCGACAGGGTAGATTCCAACAAAGGCAAACGGCCACCATCTGCCGTGACAGCTGGGTGGGTGATGGAACAGCACGACACAGCCTCTCCCCCTGCTCAGATAGTGCTCCCCACCGCCTCCCCATCCCTCCGCTTTGCTCTGCCCTCCCTCGGCGGAGGCCCGGCGGTCTCTCCCTCGTCGTGCCCGCCCTCACCGGCGGGGGCGGGCTCGCCGGTGCCGGTGCCGGGAGGAGGCGGTGCCTTATAGGGCGGGCGCGGGGGCCGCGCCTGCAGAGCCGCACCGAGCCCGGCGATACCCTGGACAGCGCCGCGCCGCCGCTCCGCCGCCATGGTGAGTGTCCCCCTGCGTCCCCTTCCCGCACACGCTCGCATCCCGCCGGGGCCGCCTGCCTCCGGGCCGCCGCTGCCCCTCTCCTCCCTGCCCCCCGCTAACAGACAGATCTCCTGGGAGATGCCGCAGTTGGAATCATAGAATCATTTAGAGACCTCTGAGACAATTGAGACCAACCGGTAACCATTAGGTGGATCTCGCTTTGGCACAGTGTGTGCAGGATTCAGGGGTTCAGGGATTCAGGTTAGAGAAGTTCAGTTTGTAAATACGAGTGCTGGGCCATAGACCAAACCCAAGTTGAATCCAAGAGATTCAGTGACCCTGTCTGCTCCCAAAGCGGACCGACAATGAATTGAATCTTCCCGACAGGGTAGATTCCAACAAAGGCAAACGGCCACCATCTGCCGTGACAGCTGGGTGGGTGATGGAACAGCACGACACAGCCTCTCCCCCTGCTCAGATAGTGCTCCCCACCGCCTCCCCATCCCTCCGCTTTGCTCTGCCCTCCCTCGGCGGAGGCCCGGCGGTCTCTCCCTCGTCGTGCCCGCCCTCACCGGCGGGGGCGGGCTCGCCGGTGCCGGTGCCGGGAGGAGGCGGTGCCTTATAGGGCGGGCGCGGGGGCCGCGCCTGCAGAGCCGCACCGAGCCCGGCGATACCCTGGACAGCGCCGCGCCGCCGCTCCGCCGCCATGGTGAGTGTCCCCCTGCGTCCCCTTCCCGCACACGCTCGCATCCCGCCGGGGCCGCCTGCCTCCGGGCCGCCGCTGCCCCTCTCCTCCCTGCCCCCCGCTCCACCGGGGCCGGCGGAGAGCCCCCGCTGCCCGCCCTCCCTTCTCCCCGCCGCTACCCCCGCCCCTACGGGCCACGTTCAGGGCGAGATTTTTCGGGGGGAAAAGGGAGGCATGGCCTCAGATGCCCCCAGCCCCCACGCGAGGCACCCGACCGAGCGCGGGTCGGGTCGAGCGGCTGAGCTTGGGCATTGTAGGGAAGGAGGGAGGGACAGAGGGACCCTTAGGGAGCGGGGGAGAAGGGATGGGGGAGAGCGAGCCCCGGGGGCACCCGCGCGGCACGGGGAGCCGGGCGGCGTGCGGGGACAGGCACGTGGAGGAACGCGGTCCTGGCTGGAGGGAGGGATGGAGAGAGGGAGCAAGGGATGCGCAGCCCCTGGGCATCCATCTCCTCGGGCCCCCTGCGCCCTGCCCCGCTCCGAGCAGGTGCATTCTCCTCTGCTCCGAGGTGCGTTTGACCGTGTTACATAAACCGATTATTCCCGTTAATTTGTTATCTTAACAGAAGCTCTTGCTTTAGCCATGCAATCTGTAGTGGAATAGTGGAACCCTTTTTTTTTTTTTTTTTCATGTAATGAATGAACAATGGAGTTTTAGATTCTAGTTCAGCATTTAAAAGAGTTAAAGTGGAACAATGAAGTCACCTATTTAGTGAGCAATGGCGATTCCCCGTAGCACAGTGTGTCTTTGCAGTCATAGTAACTTTCCCAAAGGGGCTCATCCTGTTTATAAACAGCAATGCATTAGGTGTACTGCCAACCTTACAAAGTAGGACACTGTCAAAGAAGTTTTGCAGCCTTAAATTTTGAGACACGTTGGGATGAATAATTTGGCAAACCTTGTTGTATCAGAAGCTTGAGACACGATTAACAACAGAGTCTAGTTTTTGTTTTATACGATTTAACAACAAAAATACTTTTTTCCCCAAAAAAAGTCTTTGCATCATATATAGTAAATTCTGCCTTCCTTGAACAAAAATCAGTTTGGATCCTTCCTTCCCCCATAAATCCAGACATTAATATTATTCAAATAGTCATTCTATGAATTAACTTCAGCCCTCTTTCTTTTTCCTCTTTCATGTATCTGACTGCTGTCAGTCTGAATCTGTTTCTGCCATTTATTCTATTTGCCACCAACTCAGCTTTGGGATGATAGATATGAAAAGACTCTATTGAAAAGACCTGAAATTGTGCAGTATTTTATGCTGCCCGAGCCCCTTAGAATGACATAATTGAATTCCTATTTCCTGTCGATTTGGAATATAAACACAAAAGGTATGACTAAATTACCATAGCTGCACAAAGCCTAAGTTAATACCAGCCATTGGTAATGTCTTCCTTGTGGCAGAGGAAGAAGGTTACAAAGATATCTGGTGTTGCAGAAGGTAATGTACATTATTTATCAGTAGTTAGTACAGGTGCTCAGGCGTACTGAGGCAGCTGGAAAGAAAGGTAAAATTCCCAGAACTAGTTAAAATGTTTCATTTTGATTCCTTCTAGGACTGAGATGAAGTCAGTTATACTAGTGCAAATCAAGGAAGCATTAATTGGTAACATAGGCATTGGCAACCTCAGACCAATTGAAATTACATCTGAGACCTACCCTTAACCTGTTCTTTCTGGTTCCTAGAGCTGTCCAATTAACCTTGACATTTTTCTTGAAATGGCTGGGAGCAATAACCAGAAGTCGCCATTCCGAGTTACACATGGGTTTGGATTAGCAAATTTTGCGCCTCTGTATGTCCAGTAATCTTAGTGTTCAAAAGCTGCTGACATTTCCCAAGCTTTGTTTCTCATACATAAAGGCATTCTGAATAAAGAATTGCCAATCTGAGAAAGTCCTTGAAGAGATATAAAGGCTGAAGGGTACTTTGGCTCTGAAAGTTGGAAAGAGTGTCCTTGGAGTAATGGTTACTAAAACAAATACCTGAGCTATTGATGAAAGCTGTTGCAATGATGCTAATGCAGGGTTGAAAGTTACAGCACATCGATTTCTAGATGGACCTGGAGCTTGGGGGCAAGGGGTCATGGGGACATTGGAGTATACTACCAAAGGTATCAGGAGCAAATGTAGGACAAACAGATTTTTGGCCCAAGTGGTGGGAACATTGATTAAGCATTCCCTTCACTGGTATAGAAAGAGAAAAAAGCAGGCTTATGTTGCTAGTATCCTTTAAACTCAATCAAGAGTTTTTTCAGCATCCTGGGTGTTCAATAATCACTATTATTTGTAGAAAGTTGCATAAGAAAACTTTTTTGTTTGTTTGTTTTGAAACTACATTTTGCTGAAGCAGCAAACCACTGCCATCATAAAGCATTAAGTATTTCCTCATCATCCTCACCATATGAGGGCAACCACAGTGGCTTGGTTCTTCTGTTTATGTAGTTCACTGCAGCTCTCCTTGCTTCAGTGAATCTAGGTCAAATTACACTGGCTCAGGATTTGGCTGCACCCTTGAACTTTAAACCGATTACACATTTTGATTTGTCAGTGTATTTTCCATGGGGTCAAATCCCACTTTCATGGAGTAAGAGGGTGTATAACATTGCGCAGTCATGGCAACTTATGCTTACCAAGAGACTAAGTAGCACTAAGGTAAGCATAAACATGAGGACTGTATTTAGATATTATAAATGCTGTGCCAGTATCTATACCTCTACAAGAATCCAGTGGTAAAGGGAGAGACAGAAGCTAGAATATGCTTTTCATTTCCTTCAGAGGCATTGATACCCCTGTAATCTGAAGCCAACACAGAAAGACACCTAACTCTTCTAAGCATTCATAAGTGTCATGGCCACCATATCACGATATGGACCTTGATATGGGCATACACTGATTGCAGAACATAGGCAAAGAGCCCTAGAGAGAGCAAAAAATGCCTCTTCTTCATTGACAGTAGCCAAAATAAACCCCTGTCTCATTGTACATTGGTGTTTGTTAGTTTCTCTGAATACTGCATGAGAAAGAGGATTGCAAAGACAATGTTCTCGCCCCTGAACATGGCACACAAATTGGAAGAGAATGCTTTTCAGCAGACAGAGATCAGCTCAGCACAAATACCTGATGACACAACATCCAATGCTACAGCACCCACAAGATCTCTCCAGCTCCAGCAGAGTGAAGAGGGAACAGACTGCAGCAGCCCTGCCATCCAGAACCAGAGCAGGAAGGCAGGGGTTTGCCAGCTGACACAGAATTGATAGGCTATGAGAAAACATGCTGAGAAACTGCATATAGAACAGAAAAAAATAGGCTCTACTTGCATAGAAACTCAAGAAGAGACACTGAATCCTTTTGCACATGGTGGAACTGATTAGGAAAAAAACCTTCAAGGAACTGAAGTAAGAGTCCACCATTTCATTTGCATAATTACAGGTGCCTGCTTACCAAAACCTGCATGCTGCCCTTGGTGTTGATCCCCCTTGTGTCTAGGGAGATCCTTTGATTCTTGAAGACTGATTACTGTATCTTCATTACAAGCAGTCTGATTTGTGAAAAAAAGCACAGTCCTCTTGTTCATCAGGCACTCGATTTTACATTCATTTAACTTTATAGCATCTCTTGACTTTATTGAAGAAAAAGGTTAATCATAGGCAAACACTTTAAATTTGAACCTCTGACTCAATCAAAAGTTGGGAAAAACCCTGCCAATAGTATTTTCTTGAGGCATTAGTAAAGTCCAAAGTAAGGCAAATATAAAGGCCTGTTTTATTCCCTGATCTAAGCAAAATTCAATTGTAAATAAATAGAATAACATCATAATTCTTTTTGATGGTTTCATGCCATGCTATATGAGAGTTTTGTTAAACACTGCCTGTAAAACTGATTTAAAAGCTGAGACATTATTAAGCCTCATACCAACAGAGTCTGAAGTCTATATTCAATCATAAAATGATGTGTCACAAGTGCAGTCTGATTTGTAATTAAAGAAGGTAACGGAGTAGGGAGGGAAATTATGAGGATGGAATTAAGTGTACAACTGATGTTCCAGCCAGAGCTGCTGGGATGAGCCTGCCTGGTGGGGCAGTGGTGGAAAGGTACAAGGAGGATTGCCCAGCTGTAACTGAGAAGAAACACCTGGGGATGTGCAGATCTGTCGCATTATAGATGCCACACTTCAGACTTTGAGCACACCAAATTTATCAGCCAACTTGTGAGTGCCTGGCAACAGTGGAGCTTGTAAATCCATTATCTGCATACACCCTCCATGGCT